TGTATTCATTTCTTTTCGGTGGTCACAAGGGCGACAAGCTCAATGGCTCACCGATTTGGTTTTCGAGGAGCGTCCATTGACCACTTGGCATGCCAGGCCATGCGAACGAGGCCGCGCTCCCTGTCGCCAGAGGAGCAGCTTGGCGTTGATGAGATTTTACTCAGTGACGTGCTGAAATACATGTCAATGTGTTACGTGCCGCTGGAGAATAAACCTGCCTTTGACCTGGCTGTTTCTTTCGAGGGATGAGCTGACGAGCTTTTCTTGCCTGTCATGAGTCAAATCCCATACGGCTTGGAGCGGCCTTCCCGTGCGACACAGCGTGTCCTGCAGCTGAGTCATGACAAGCCCAACTGGGGCGTAAGTATGCCATCAGAGCCCTGCCCCCTGCGTGGGGTGTGGTAGCGTTGCCCCGGCCTTCAGCCAGCTTCGTAGATATTTCTTTGGGCAGGCAAACTCAGCGCTGCGTCAGCCGGGGAACAGCCTCCAATGTCTTTGCATCGGCTTTGGCAGACTTGGCTGAGGCCCCATAGCTCTTTGGGAGCTTGTGGCTCTCCGCAGCATTGGCTTCGCCGCAGCAAGGCATCGGGAGTTTCGGAGTTGGGGCCTCTTTGTTGGCAAAGATATGGGGGTTGAAGAAAAGGCTGCGGGATATTCTATGCCATGTCTTTGCCCAGAATGGTTTTGTGGCAGAGCGCTTCTTTGAGTCGTAACTCGCTAGTTGTGCTGTGCGCAGTCAAAGCTGGGCTTCGTGGGCGCATCGCAGCAGATGCTTGGCAGCATTCAGCTCGTCTCAGATGGACGAGCTGCATGAGAGGAGCACCCCAGACCAGGGATGCCCAAGGCGTAAAGGCTTCTCTTGTAGTCGCTGTCTGCCCGGCATACTGCTGGACGTGTGGCATGTGCAGCTGTAACACCATGCCGCTGGAGCATCAAACAGATCCCGTACCAGCACTTGCACCAGCGCCTGGTCCCAACAGCACCACAACCAGCATCCCGACCAGCACCGCCAGCAACAGCACCCGACACAGCACGCCTAGCGTACTCATAGCACACTGCTTTTGGATGCGCCCAGGAGTCAGCCTACCCTGCGACTGGCAGAGCCTCTGAGCGCCCGGGAGATACTCGAAGCTGAGGCCGAGCTTGGGATGTGTGGTTTGCCATGTCTTTGCCAAACTTATCCAAGATGGGCAGGCTAGACATCGTTCTCATTGCTTGGCACTTTCCATAGCATTTTGGCAGACCTTCAGCTTGCGCCAGGTGCTGCCGCGACAAGGCCTAGCTGCAGCACAAGCGCTTCTGCTGTGAGATTCCTGGTTTGTAGTTGAAGCACCCCTTCCAAACATATCCTCGTCATGGGGGGGATGTCCTGCTGATTTTTGAGGGGCGTAGTTTTGGTCTGCAGGAGCACTGACAAGAGTTTTACTCAGCCGGGGCTTTTGCCAGGACCCCCGCGAGTGCGGCGCAGCAAGTCTTCCAATGTCCTGGAGACCAGGACGTGTTCTGCTAGGAAGACCAAGCAGACGGGCACTGCGGCAGATCGAGCTGCGTGTTCAATGAGTGGGCCCCTTGCAAGACATCAACCAAGCAAGCTTTTCAGTATTTTTGTACACAATCTCTCACACTCTGACTTGATGTTTGCCCGTTGCGAGCGCTGGAGATACTGTGGATGGACCAAAACCTGCACCACCTCAGAATCCCTGGCATGGTGATTCCCCTGTAAACACCAACAAACAATGGGTTCTCATGATTTCAAAGTGGTGCAGGATTTTGTCCATCCACAGTACGGCAATGGGCAAGTGTTGGTTTGCTTGCGGGCCTTTGGACAGCAGACTTAACAAGAATTGAAACGGATTCCTGCGCAGGACCCCCAGAGCAGTGGAGCGAAAGCGCACGGTGCCGCCGCCGCTGAAGCTGGGGACGCTCCGATGAGCAGCCAGCGGGATGAATCGGTTACACATCAGTGCCTACAATGTCCGCTAAAACTTGATTTGCTGAAGGAAGGTTATAAAGCTTGAGGAGCGACGGTCGGGTTGGCCATTGACTTTTCAAGCTGACTTTGAGCTCAATGTCAAGCTCTTCCAGTGTCCAGCGGGGCGAACTCATGTGACTCCGGGTCATTGAAAATAGACTGCAAGTGGTTCTTTGGCTGAACTAAGGAAGCTCAAGGATGGCTGTCGCACTCCGTCCGCTTGCCCCGACTCAGCGGCGCCGTCGTCACGCAGGCGTGGGGTACGAACGGCCAGAAGAGAAAGACAGATTCAGAGAGAGTCTCAAAGAGAGCAGGGAAACTTGATGCCAACATTTTGCCAGAGCGTGGGACGAGGAACTCTGCTCAGGCCCCCCTCTGCAAAGAGTGCTCGTGCACCCTCAGCTGGCTCGCGGGTGGCCAGCAAGGAAGCTTGGGCTGAATCTAAGACTCGCCAGCATTGCACGCCCACCTTTGCACCGAATCCAACGGCAATGTTTTATCTTCCACTCCTTTGCGGTGTTCCCGAGAAAGGCTGGATGAAATCCCGAGATTCGACCTTCCCAACGGCTTACTTCGTATGGCTGTGGGTCAAAACCAATGGTACCATTTTGGGGTAGGTGCACCACCCACTTTAGTCTATTTTAGTGGGGGATTGGGATGTTCACTGGGGGTACGGGATTTTGACCCATGGCCGTATCTTCTACTCCCACCGAGAATTGGCCAGGAGCCTCACACGAGCCGTGGTCCTTGCAGCGCTCGTAGCGGCAGCGCCCGGGCGCCGCGGAATCTGCGGGTAGCACTGAAGCAGCCGGACACGAAGGCTTTCCCACCTTTGGCTTCGGCCCTCTGAGGTTTGGGTGTGGATCTGTTGAGGCAGCTTGAACTCCGGGCTTCGTTTTGTGGGTGGTGCCAGGTCCCGAGAGGGCCAGCGAGTGCACGCAGCGTGGGCCCCGCTGTCCCCAAAGGCGTGCCGCGAAAGGCGAGCGCCCGAGCTGTGTGGGGCATGTGATGCTTTCTTTGTCCCGACTTTAATGTTGTTTCGGCAACCAGGGGCAGAGTGGACCTTGATGGCTGAAATCTGAAGTTTGGGTTGCGAGTGGATTTGTTTTGGCAAATTGGCATATTGGAGAGTATGGGCATTCAATTCGCATTTCCCCAGGAGCTACTTGAAAAGGCAATCGATGTCGGGTTCCTTTGCATCCCAGCAAGGGACCGTTCCAATGGCAGAGTCCATTCCACCCCCCAGAGCGTTTTGGCTGTCAGGCAGTGCAGCCGCTTTTGCTGCGCGATGCCCCGCCACGGAAGGCCCTCGCTTGCCGGGTGTGCGCTTTTTGAGCCGCATCTTTGATGATTTGGCCGGCATTTGCGCACTCAGAGCCCCAAGTTCGCATTCTGCTCACCAGCCCCCAAAATGCAGAGCTGACAAAGAATCTGCTCAAAGGTCTCAGCATCGGACCCTTGGAGAGTCAAGAGACAGCTAGCAAACTGTGGCAAAAAGGGTTGTTGACATTTTGACATGTTGTCGCTTTTTCTGAACCTGTCGCAGCTGGCTTCGGCGATTCCGCTGTGTCGTTCCAGGTGCCCACGCGCAGTCCCTCAGCGCCGCCAAAGGCGAAGGCCAAAATGACGCGCATTGGAACCAAATGATAAAGCATGGAAAATGGTTGAAGGCTTAGTGAAATGCAGTTGGAGCCCAAGGTCAGGAGGCTGGTGTTTTGTTTTTATTGCTCCGTGGGGCGTGTTTGTGAGTCTGCGGACCCTGTAGTCTGAAAGGTCAACCAGGAAACGCTTCAATCAGGCACTGGTCTAACCATACAAGACAATTTGTGTGAACATAGCGCTCTCTTGTGTTGCGACCCCGGAAGGCAGTGGCGGCGTGAGGGGCTGTGCTGCCCATCAGCTGGACACGCCCAGGGTTCAGGAGAGACTCCTTTGTTCTTTCGTCTGCGTCAGGCGACATGTATGATTTCTAGCGGCCAAAGAGGGGTCTTTCTTGCTTTTTGCGGCCGCTTCCAGAAGGCCGCAGGCCTGGAATTGGCCCTCTTGGATGATTTTCGCCAAACCTCCGGGCGGCCAACATGGCAGCCTCGGGATGGCTTCGGCAAGGGAGCCGAGGGGCATGCCCCACATGAGCAGACCGTGGGGCGCGGTCGAGATGCAGGATGGATTGTCAACCGCCAGAAAGAGGTGATGGCCATGCTTGACCGTGCCTCACGTAGTTTCTGCTCAGTTCCAATGCTTGTAGCCTGTAGGCGCCTGAATCGGCAAAGCCCAGCATTCTGTGCACGATTTTGCTGCCTTCAAAGTGACTGCCAGTCAACACTTGGTCTTGATGCCTTTGTTTGCTTCGGGGAAGAATGCCAACCCTTGTAGTCAAACCTCCGTGCGTGAGAAGGCAGCCCCATGGTCCGACTGTCCAGCTTTTGGACAGAGGCTCAGAGGGAGCAGTCCGCTATTGGATCATTTAGACCAGCTATGAGTCCCTCGCTTGAGGCTCGCTTTGTCTGAGCCATAGCTTTTGTGGGAGAAGGTATATCGATATCGTCGATGCATCCGCTGATCTTGGCGACAAATGCTGCTCGTTTCAATGTGAGTCTCAAGGCTTGGATCAAGCCCTGCAGCCCAAGGCTCTGCACGAGGGAACACAAACTTGCACCGAGCTGTTAATCCGTTCCTCGACGCGGACCCCCCCGTAAATACGGTCTGGGGGACAAGACATATTTATTCATAGGGCGATTTTATCTTTTGGGGGGCAGCGGAATATACACCAATTTACTTGCACACGGAGCCAATTTGAGCCACAATGAAAACCCGGGTAGATGAAAATTAGTAAGGGGCAGTCCCAGCCAGAAATAGTTGCGGATATCCGCCTTCTTAATTCTTGAACCATGGTTATGGGATTACGACCATTTTAATACCGGGTTTTGATTGTGACTCATTTGTAGCCCGGGTTGAAGACACGAGCTTGCGACTCCCATCGAACCTTCGCTTCAGAAGCGACTCGCGACTCGCCAAACCTTGTGCTGAGGTCTTTGGGCCCATACTCGAGCACAGAGGCGCGGAAGTTGTCGGCAAAGCAGCATCCGAATGGGCATCCCCATGTTTACCGCATTTGGACTTCTTGGCGAAGCAATCTCCGTGATGCCTCAAAGGTGTGATTTCCTCCGAAGTCCCACTCTTCTTTTCTCCCTGTGCATCCTTTCCGAGACTGCAACTGCAGGCCGCTTCAATCAGGCACCATTCTCAACGTCGTGCAAGAAGACTGCAAGAGATATGAACAACCAACAGCGAAAGGGATGACTGGGCCACACTCACAGAAATCCAAAGACGCTTGGGGACAGAATACATATTGACCATCGTGCACATCAGACATGTACCTAGCAGAACGCTGACATCCACCCAACTGCTGGTTTCAACTTGAACCACCATGAGGAGCTGCCTGAATGAGAGCGTTGCCCGCCTGGTAAACCCTCCATTTTTCTTGGCTGAAATTTACCTTGCACATGCTCAAGCAACTAGTTATCTAAGCCACCAGTTATGCAGCCAATGAAGCCACCCGTGATCAGGTGGAAAACGCCCTAGTCCCAGGTTGGTGCATGATCCCAACACCCAAATCTTTTGCAAAGGGCAACCTGTGCCCTCCCTTGAGTTTTTGTTTTGGAATCCATGCGATGTTACTTGATTTTCCATTCCTGAAGGCACCAAGAGGGCGCGCGAATCGCGAAGCGCGAAGCGCGTGGGTTGTGGAGGCGCTGCCACTGCGAAGGGCGGATCTGGTGCAGTCGCTCTACGCCCACATTTGCTGCCAGCCCAAGCGAGCTTGTGATACATAGCATGTCGGCACCTGCAAAACCGTTGACATGGATTGCTCGACGAGTCCTTCAAAATCCAAGGAACATAATATGTGCAGTCTGATTGTATGGATTCATTCCATTCCTTTTGTCGTCTGATCTGCCTGTCTTACACTGACGTCTTGGTCACTTCTCGAGCCTTACACTTCTGGGAAACGATTGACTTACTCCCGGGGTCGAAACCGCGGCGAGTTTTTGGCCGATCCCCAAGGCAGGTTTGAGGTTCGATCCGATCCGCGAGCGTCCCGCCAGGCCAAGAGACGCCGGTGGCGCAGTGGGGCACCGAATGCATGGCGAGCCTCTGTGCACTCTGGTGTCGTCACGGCCCCAGAACCCAGCGCAGAGGCTTCATAGGTGAAGATCGGGTTGGCTTTGCAAGGCCTTTCTGGCTGTCCAACGTTGGGCCCTTTGATGCCTCCTTCACATGTGGGGCATGGTGCTCGACAAGAACTTCAACATCATGTTTGGAGAGTTGCAAAGTATGTTGTTTCGGCCTGTGAGCCTGCCCTCCTCGTTTTTCACATCCAATGGTCGGTTTCTCGGCCAAGAAGACAAAAAATCGTCCAGGCATCTGGGTATGGGTCAAAGTAAAGCCACCAGGAATCGGACCACAGGTTTTGGTCCATGTTTCCATTTACCTGGGTTATCTTTTGTGTACCTATTTTTGACCCACAGCCATTTCCCATAAGGACGAACCCTCGCTGGCCCTGAGAAGCTGCTCGCGCGAGGTGCAGAGATGCGACACGCTGGGCAGGCAAAGCCTGGAGGCTGGGCTCCAAATCCTAAAAAAGCGCAGACGGCGTTTGGTGCTTGCGGAAAGAAAGGGAGACACACCTGACTGCTATTGGGTTGGATCTTTAGATTTCAACTTTTTTTGGGAAATGAAGGGTTTGTTTCCACTAAGCCCACAAAAAGTTAAAACTTTTTGTAGAGGGGTCAACAGCAACAAAGCAGAAGGCATCTTTTTTCAAACCCAAGGGGATTTCCGACAAGGATTGCGGAACTGGATTTGTGGAACCTTTGAGGCAGAGGCCTTCTGCCCGGAAGCCAAGTCCTCTGCGCGGGCGAGTCGTTGCTTTTCTGACGTGACAAGTCAGCGGCAAAATGATTTTTCAGCACGTGCAACGTTGACTGGACAAGGTTGGCATGCCTGTCGGTGCCCTCAGAGGCCCGTGTTTGCCGGCACATTCTCGCTTTAAAGCCAAGTCAAGCAACGAGATTGGAAAGCGATGTCCTTCATGAATGACCACAGAAAGAGAAAGAGAGGGAGAGAGGGATGGACTGCCTCACCCACGGAGCCCCCAGCCGCACTGTTGTGGGAAGCATGAAGGAATTGCGGCCCTGTGTTAGTGCTTGTGCGCGGAAAAGCCCTTGCAAGCAGATTTTTCCCACTCCTTGTCGCACCACCTTTCCCACCTTTGTGCTTTTGCGCCAGGCGCAAAAGCACGGCCTTGTGCTGCACCTTGCGAAGCGGCTTCTAGCAGCCTGAAGCACAGAGCAGCAGGTCGTCCAACTGTCCAGGAAAAGGCAGAAATAGCTCCCAAGCAGGCCGTGAGAAAGTGGCTTGCCATGGTTGTTGAGCCGGATGAAAATGGCTTGGAGGGTAGAGTCTGGTGAGCTTGAGGAATATGAGGTCGTGACAAATCAGAGGGAGCTGGACATTTCGAAATGATGCGAGATGCCGCAATTTGACCAACAAGCAACGTCAAGGATTGCTATGCTTTTTTGTTGTTTCAGATTGTCGCACCCGCAAACCAACCGAAAGCAATCCCAAACCAATCCTGAACAAACCCTAAACCTGCCGCAAACCAACGCAAGCTTATTCTATTCTAAATCTAAATCACCCCTACTCCAAAACCACCCGACTCCTGCTCTAAAACTTCCCTTAGCCCACCCTCAACACATCCTAAACCCACCCTGAACTCACCACATCCCATTTAACATTAGACGCTGTAAGCTCACACACTTGAACAACTCGCCTAAACCAACCCTGGACCCACTCTAAACCAAGCCAAGGCCAACACAAGACCAACCCCAAGCGACACCAGCTTTAGCCAACCCCTTGCGCCCAAATCCAGATAGGAAATCACCCCGGGCTCGCCCCCCAACTCCTTTTTAAGGCACCCAAAGCCCTGACCGAAACCCGGCCAAGAAAAACAGCCCCACCAAAAACCAGCCCAGCAGAGCCCTAGACTCACCCCAAACGCGCTCCCTCAATCTTGCCGCATGTTGCTATTTTATCCCGTTCTTCTGTTCTGGTTGTTTAGATGTCTTTTGATCATGCACCCCGTCATCGTGTTGCCAGGGTTTGTTTCGATCTTTCTGAACTCCAGGTCCTACGCGATCCAGCGCAGGCGGTGGATTTCCGGAGTGCCGGCAGCCTCAGCGAAGACTTGCTTTGCGAATGATGCCGTCAACACCTTGTATTGCTTTATGCAAAGGATGGACCGGGCACTTGCCAATCAGCTTGAGCCACTTTCCGAAAGCTAGACGCGGAGTATCCCGAGAGCGAGCGCAAAACGAATGGAGGGCTTCCAGAAAGCAGGTCCAACGCACGAATGAAAGGTCAATGGTTTCAACGGGTGCAGGGAACAAGGCTGGAACACTCGATCATTCAACCACGTAGCAAATTAATTCTATCGCTAATGAGTATGCCTTGCAATGCCGTAACCTTGTTTGCCCAGCCCGGATTGACTACCGTGAGTCACGCTGTGGCCAGCTCCCAAGCAATCCACCACCTACCTCTCAACGCCTTGAAGCAAACAGCGTGCGATGCTTGACTGAGAGTGTGCTCTGTTGGAAATGCGCGCGCGCGCACCTCAGCTTGACCGCATTGCCTTTGCTTCCAAGGCCACCATCAATTGACATTTGAAAGCTGGCGCGGAGGTTGCGTTGTGCAGGGTCAACCTATTTGAAGGTGGAAACATCCAGGAGCTTGTAACGTGTGGGAGCCTACCAAATGGGTGCATAAAAAAAATGCACTCAAATCTTGTGAATTTCGAGCAGTCTATGATGTATTTGGGAGGGACATGGGGGGACTCACTAAATTACCCACAAAGTTCAGGGGGACTAACTTTCCCATGCCCCTTAGAGGAGACAAGTAACTTTGACTGTGCCTCATGTTGATCAAGTAGCCTTTTGCTGGCATTTCAGAACATCAGCCCACCGAAATTTTGCAGAAGTTTCATCTGCGCGCTTGAACAATTGCATTTGCTTTCATCGCTTTGATGTGCCTAATGCCCGCAGAGGATTTTTCCCGCTCACCTTGTGCAAGTTACGCAAGCAGCCTTCGCAAGCAGCCCAAGCAGAGCTGCGTATGTCGTCGTTTTGCAAGTCGTTGCTGAAGTAGGGCTGCGCAAGTAGTTGCCGTGCAAGTAGTTGCCGTGCACGTAGTCGCTGTGCATGGAGTCGCTGTGCCGGCGCGTACTAAATGAATGCGGCCGTCGTTTGCAAGAACCCACGGCCACGCTTTCGTGAATACAACACGGAATGTGCCCCTTCCGTGCCATTTTTTTCTTCTGAAGGCTGTGCTGAACTGCCAGAGAGTTTCACTTGCAAGCAGGTTTTTGCGCATGTTCTTCATGTGCGTACATATTTCATTGGAGGCGTGAAGCTGCACCGGCCAATTGTTTTTGCAAGAGGCTGTTATTTTTTGGGGGCAAGATTGCTTTTATGGAAAAGCCTGAAATGGCGAATGTTCTCATTTCTTCCAGGGTAACACCACAACCGAGGCCTGCGCGGACCTTTGCCGTGCAGCTTTGGTCTCGCAGCCGGGGCTGCTGCTGGAGGCGAAGGAGGAGCTGCTGCCGGGATCCCCAAGGCTCCATGCGAGCTCCTGGGTCGGCATGCTAAGCGCAAAGGTCAAGAGCACCATAGGTGGTGCATAGAACGCAGATGCATATACACATGCATCATATCTACTCATTTTCCAACTCAGGTTTGGTTTAGTTTGTTTCATTTTAGTGAGTTACGAATTTAGCTCATTCACTTATTCTATTTTCGATCATATACTGTATATGCTTGTTTATATATATATATATGTACGTGTCTTGTTTATTTGTCTCTTTGGTTGGTTGGTTGGTTGGCTGGTTGGTTGGTTGGTTGGTTGGTCGGTTGGTTGGTCTTGCTAGATTTGGTTTGTTTTATTTTGCAATGTTTCTGTTTTTGGTGTTGTTTTGTTTTGTGTTTGTTTGTTTCTTTCGTCCTTTGTCTTTGTTTGTTTGTTTTGTTGGTTTGTTTGTTTGTATGTGTATGTATGTATGTTTGTTTGTTTACTTATTATACTATTTTTCATATTTATTCATGTATTTGTTTAAGTATTCATGTATTTATTTAATTCTTTTACGTATTTTCATTGTTGTTTATTTCTGTCTATATTTCGTTATTCAGGCATTCATTCTTGCCCTGATGCTTGGGTTTTTGTTTAGGCTTCCAAGGAAAGTGGGTAGCGAGTCTTTTCGCTTCGGAGCGGTGGACGGAGAGAGGTTCCGGTGATGATGATGATGATGACGATGATGATGATGATGATGATGATGGTGATGATGATGATGATGATGATGATGCGGAGACGCAAGCGGATGGATGGAGCCGGGGTGTAGCGATGCGAGGGACACGCAGCGGGCGGATGGCGAGGCAGTGTGTGGACACATGAAATGCAAGGACTGGATGGGACTGGAGCGACAGCGCCAAGGCGCTGCTTTGTTTATTTACGTTTTGTTTATTTGTTTATTGATTTATTGGTTTATTGATCTAGTTGATTAGTTGATTAACTACTTAATTCATTAATTGATTAATTAATTAACTACCTAAATACATATCAACCAATTGTTTGTTTTTCCCCAAGCAAGACGGGGAACGACAATATAAATGTTTGTATATATATATTTATACACATTGTTACATATTGCGCAACTCATTCCAGGGCATGTGCACCAGCGCCGCAGAGCACTTCAGTGGCACAAATGCCCACTGAAGAGTCAGAGGCCGAGACTGTTGAACCTTTGTGAAGACATCAGCCAGGTGCTTCTCCAAGGAATGAATCACGCCGAGCAAGCAAAACCACTCCTGTCATGCATGCTGCAAAGCGGCAGCAATGTGCTGCCTAGTGGGTACGATCAACAGCAGCGTGGTCGTTTTTCAGCCTGAAAAAGAGCGCGCAATGAACAGAAGAGTGGATAGTGTCGTATACCTTGGTTATAGAGCAATGACATCGAAGAAGAAAGGACACAAAGAAGCACAAATTCTTGAAGCTGGTTGTGAAGACTACACTTTTTCTCCCCCTGATCCCACTGCATCCAAACAGAACCCGGGCCCTGGTTTAAGCTTTGGCCCCCGACAGAACTCGGCCTGATGAATTTGCACCCAACATCACTGTGCGTGACCCGAAAGGTCTTCAAAGCCACTTGAAACCAACAACTCGCGGGAGAAGTGCCATACTTGCACACCTGCAAACACTTTCCGAGGGTTTTCTTGCCCACCATTGTGTCAATGGAACAGAGGTGCGTGGTTTGGGCATGGGTTGTGGCCCATTTGGAGCCTTGGGTCCAGGGCTTCCGCAACTCTGGCACGGATCAAAATGGCTGTTTTTTCTTCTTTTCTTTTTTCTCTTCGTGGGACGCGCGCTTGCCAATCTCCATTTTTCCGCCCACTGCGCGCTGTCTTTGTATAATGCTCCCCCTATTTCAGCTTAGGCAAAACTGCCCCAGGAGCCACCGTGGCATTTATGGAGAGAAGGATACACAACACAACCATGAAAGGTTGATCCAAATAGATACTATTGTTTTCAACTAAGTGATGAGTGATGTGATGGAGTCACTGCGGCAGACTCACCTCCGGGCAATCTTTGAACAACAATTTGGAACTCGAACCAGGGACCCACTATCTCTCGAATTGACCAAGGCCCAGTTGCGTTGCTGCTGCGGCAGAGACCCTGGCTGAACTGAGCGAGGCGGGTGCAGGGCAGTGCAAAGCGGGTATCCGATGGAACTGATGACGCAGGCTTGGCAATTGCAAAGTGACATGCGCGAGACAAACAAAACCCTAAGCCCCAGACCCTAAAAGCCCGAAAGCCCAAACCGGAAACCTTAGCCTAGATTCCCGAAGCTCAAGCCATGGAAGCACGACCTTTGCGACAGATATGGCGGTCAAAGCCAATGGGATCCCATTTCGGGGTAGGTGCACGACCCATTTTAGTCTATTTTAGTGGGGATTGGGATGTTCATACGGGATTTTGACCCATGGCCATATGTTTGGTGGGGAATTACCTGCAAGATGTGGGCTTCGACGCCGGCACAGCCACTGAGACACACACACGCAGCAACGAAACCTTGGCGTGGCTCAAGAGGGCTTCTGCTCAGCTGAAGCGGCTTGGCCTTCCGGGTGTCTTGCAAGCACGATGCCGCCAGTGGCGCTTGTGGTGAATGATGCTGCTTTTCCAGTGAGGTGACTTCATCATGAATTGGAGTGACGCCTTGAAGTGAGTTTGCCATGAAAGCTGCACCGCGAAACCAGGCTGCTCAGACATCTTCCAATACGACGGCCAGGCGGTGCAAATTCAAGCCTATGAATCCGATGGTCGGAGCCGTCATCCTCCGAGAGCTTCCACATCTTCGCCCTGTTCAATGCCAAGATCCCATGGAGGTCGGCAGTTGCCGTGAACTTCTCCGCCTCTTTTGTCGTGGCGAGCTGCAGGAAATATGGATCATCAAGACTGAGCATCTCTTTTTTCACGCCATTGGACATCTTCCACATGACACTTTTTACCACAAGCACATTCGAGCTTCTTACCAGCAGGCCAAGCTGAGCCACAATCAAAACCCGGGTAGATGAAGGTTAGTAAGGGACGATCCGGGTAGATGAAGGTTAGTAAGGGACGATCCCAACCATAAATAGCTGCGGATATCCACCTTCTCAATCCTGTACATGGTTCTGGGCAGACCATTTTACTACCAGGTTTTGATTGCGACGTCACTATGCTGACCTGGAGAGAGCTCTTGAAGTTGGAGAACCGGGACAAGGGTGGGGGTACAGCAGCTGGCGCAGTTGCGGGCGTAGCAGCCGGTGGCATTCAAGTCCTTTCAAGTCTTTGTATTGGAGGAGTGGAGGCTGCCGGAGCGAGTGCAGCTGGCGGGGCTATCGCACGGCTGCGCATCGGCAGCTGATGCGGTCACGAAGCATTGCAAAGACACGGCCTGCATCAGCAAGAGGGCTGAGGGCGGCGCAAAATCGTCGGTTTCAACAAGATGGAGACTCCATCTCAGAGAGATCAGAACATCAGGAATGCGGTTTTACAATTCGCTCAAAGTGTGCCATTTCCGTTGCCTTCTGAAGCTCAACGCTTTCGGAGTCAGCCGAGGAGGGCAGTTGCTGAAGCCGAACAAACTCAGACAGTGTGGATAAGCCTTCAACCGCAAGTTTGGATGCCCCGCGCGGTCTGCGTGTTCGTGTGCTTCATTCACTCTAGAGAAACCATCGTCGCCTGTGGAGACAACCATGACAAAAGTCTTGATGACTTTTAGGAGGACAATGCGGATCGCAGCGAGTGACGTTGTTCTCAGCAAGGCGAACACGGAAGAAGATGTAGGTTCCCTTCCCGACTGGGTATGGAAGAAGGAGAGTATGGCACGCACACACACACACACACACCCACACACGCATCCATAAGTGGGATCGCCATGCAAACAAATGGTGTGGGCCCTACCATGTGTTTGGATATGACCAAAGTTTCAAGGATTTTTGTCGGCTGACGGGCTACAGGGCACGTACTCAATGGCAAGTACCAGGCAGTTGACGACTCTGGTGTTGCGAAGCTTGAGCATCCTGAATAGGTCAGTTGCCAAAAGGCAAAGATGTTGCGCGAAAGAGGACGATCGTGGCATACTCTGTGCAGTTGTGTTGCCACCATTTCTCGTGGAGCAGCAGCCAAGGGGCCGCAAAGGAAGCGTTCTTTTTAGAGCAGTGTTTCACTGAACAGATGAAGCTACATCAGAAACAGAGGAAACAAATCCTTCCAATGCTTTTGCCCTTTTGCGGTGTTGCACTTCTTCGCTGCCGCACATAGCAGCGTGAACCGCATGTTATACCAGCATGCCTGTTGGGTGTTGGGCTTTTGTGGGGTTGACTGCCAGGCACCCGTGGGCGAGGAGAAAGCCAGACTCTTCTTTGCCTCGCTGACTTTGCTGGACGTTGGGGCCTCAGTTGCCTGAGGTTCTGTCACGATTTGTCGTTTGGCTGAGCCTGGCACACGCCTTGGGACTGGCATCACTTCAGGACGTGGCCGCTCTCGGTGATGAGATCCTGCCCCACCTGGACAAGTCGGTTGAGGCAGCTTCGAGAGCTACCGGGGTTCGCGAGCTAACAGCGGACACTGAATCCTTGCTGCGCAGCTGATTGCTTGGAGCTGCTTGCAATTCACGATGGCTTGGCACCAGGTGAAAATCCTGAAGCCCCAGCGAAGTGTGCCAGCTGCTTAACTTTCTTGCTGCAGACTGCGATGCAAGGTATGCAATCAGTGATAGCCAGATGCAATGTGCCAGACACGAAGTTGTGGACCATACCTTGGGTGCACGGAGTGGAAGACACTTGCCAGTTGTCCATCTTTTCTTCGCCAGGTCGCACGACTCAACGTGGAAGCTTCTGCGGAAGGTGTGCTTGCGGTGCTTGCAGAAGTTCTTGGTGGGGTTTTGCACATGTCTGTTGAAGGGATCGTATTTTGCAGCTGCCGCTACTGTCGTGGATCCGCTTTGTCTGTCTCCATGTTGCTTTAGTGGGCCAGATTTGCCCGCGCCTTTGCCAGGTGTTCGAAGACGTTTTGCAGCCGGTAGCTCAGCCAGCATGCCCACAATCTGCTTGGATGTCGAATGTTTCGGCACAGCTTGAAGTCCACGCCTTGTGAAATTTGCGGCTCGCGGCCTTGTTGCCTGGCTGAGGCCGTGGCTGTCGTCGCTTGGCCGCAGATGTTCAGCTGCGTCTTTGGCCTCGCCCGCTTTGGGTCATGCCGAGGTCAGGGGACTGCAAGGCGCTGGCAAGCTGACCAGCTTTTTTTGGGGAGAGTGCCGGGTAGATGCCCGAGCGTGACTTGATCATCGACAAGCTACTTTGCCACTGCCTGGCCGTTGTGCTGCAGCCCATGACGTTTTCAAACAAGTGCCCTTTCGTGGACAGAGTTGCGGAAAGAGTTGCAGTGTTTTGTGGCGGCTCGTGCTAGGCGCACCTCTGCATGGCGGCGGTTCTCCGGCTCGCGGAGCGTGGCGCTGGCAAGGCGTGAGCTCTGAGCGTCCAGCGGTCAAGGTAACATATGAAGTCTTTGTTGCGAAAGACATGTCTATGTGTATTTTACTTGTTGGATTTATTTGTATCTATATCTACGTCATGGTCAATACATCCTTATACTCGAGGTCACTAGGGATAGCCAAGGACCCTTTGAAAGGGGCAGTTATCAGGAAGCCAGTTTAGATCCTTGGTGGGTATTGGATTTCGAAGCGTGTCCAGGGCTTTGGTCCGTCCGGGGCTTTTGCCAATTTGGTTTACGCACGGAGAAGGCGGTAGGTGCTTCCTGAAACGGGAATCGTTGCAAGGATTTTGATTGCCGTTGCAGCCCACAACGAGCACACATTTCCTTTGGTGCGTTTTGCTTGGATGTTAGGACTTTAACTTCTTGCCAACTAGTGGGTTTTCCATTATACCACTAAAAGTTAAACTTTTAGCAGGGGAGCAGAAAGCAACCGAGTTTCGAAGTGCAAGGGAGGATCCAGCAGCTCGCCAGGGGCACAAGGACCTCAAAGAGTTGCCTCGGGCCTCAGGGGCATAAAAAATCCGCGATGGGTAAGGGGGTAAGGGGAACCCACCCGGGCAACCCCTGGCGACCCTGGCATGGCCATGCGCGCGAAGTGGCCTTTAGTGTTGGCACCCGTGCTGAGGATGAAGCAGCTCCTCACTGCCAAGACTTTGGGAATGCCAGACCGGCTCGTCCGGAGTGACTAAGTGGCTGTGGGTCAAAAATAGGCCCCCAAAATGGAACCTTGGTAAATGGAAACAAGGAGTAAAACCTGCCGTCCCCTGGTGGATTTATTTTGACCTATACCCAAGTGGGCGACCGCGAGATTGCGGGAGGGCCAAAGGCTTGTGGTTCGACAGTGGCCAGGCTCAACCCGGATGGCCTCCAGGCAGAGAAGGGCGTGACTGGAGATGGCTCTGACGTTAGGTGTGCGTTTCCTTTCCATGCAGTCTACATTCTACTATATATATAGAGTTTTGCGATGGAGCAACCATTTTACAAAGATTAGCATTTTGCAAAGAAGGGACTCCTGAGTGACTCTCCAAACGGCGTGTGCTTTGCAGTGGCATGTTGCATGCTTTGCAGTCATTTTTGTTTTTGCTGACCTTGTGAAGCCAGAAGATCTCTCACATCAAATGGCACAACCCATAATTTTGTCGATATTTTGTGATTGTGCTTGAAAGTTTGCAGGAGTGTTACCTCCCCTCCTGCCAGCCCAAAGCAAAAGCCAGCCCTGAGTTAGGATTTGCAGCGGCTCGTGCGTTTCTGTTCACTGCTTGCACGAAGATCCTGCGATTCCAGTACCTCGTTTAACACCGCAGCTTGCCATTGCTGGGTGTTACGACGAAGCATGGATTCTCCATACACCACTTCGGTTTCAGAGGCTGAATCTACGCATGCTGCTTGTATTAGGAGGCTTCGCACCAAGGGAAAGGCTTTGCACATATTGTTCTTGAGTGCCCTGTGTAGCTGCCAACCATGAAGCTTTGTTCTGGGAAGACCGCCCCATGGTCCAGAGACCTGGCGTCACCCAGAGAGTGGGAGCTTTCATTCGATGTCCGGCGCAGGAGGACTCGCGCCGAGCTCAATGTCATGAAGTGACCAAGTCCATTAGGTTTTTTGGCCGTCATGTTGTCGAGATTGTCTGGCCATGGGTCAAGATCCCGCACCCCTAGTGAACATCCCAATCCCCACTAAAATAGACTAAAATGGGCGGTGCACTTACCCCTAAATGGGATCCCATTGGTTTTGACCCACAGCCATCTAAGCAGCTATGAGTTCGTTTTGTTGGCCGTGAGCCATGCTGAGGCCTGATGGGAGCGGTGCAGGCAGGCGAAATCACGGGACGGGAAGGAAGAACACCGTTGCTTTGTTGCCAAGGGTTGAAGCTCCAAATCCTGTCTTGCAAAAATGGCTTGCTTGAAAAAAGATATGTGGGTGGGATAGTTGCGACTGACAGTGAACCCATGTCGTGGCATTTTTATTTATTTTTATTTTGTGGCCTTTCGCATGAGCCAATCCAGCACAGGCGTCCGGCCAGAGCTCCAAAGAGAGGCGGGTCAAGATGAAACGAGCAAAAGTGATGAAGCGCAGTGACATGCAGCGAAGGTTACCCCACAGTGCGTGAGCATAGGTGTCCTTTTTAGATCAGTTTGGCTGGACACTAGACGGCACTGGTTTAGGTGGGTTTCATTTCATGCACCAGGGCCATCTATTTTACCAAAGGTCACCTATGTGCGCGAGTTGTCCAGAACTGTGGAGTTCTGCTGCGTTCTGTGAATTCTGCAAGCTTTCAGAACTCATCGGTAGGCGAGGGGTTGCATTCAGGTGACGCTGTGAAGTCAGCCTTTGGGTTGCATGATCCCCGGGTCGACCTCATTCTTGGGTTCCTTCACGGGCAATTCTCATGCTGCATGTTACGCACGCAGTACGCACGCAGCAGGTGAGCTTCGGCGTGTTTCTACGCGGTCAGGCGCCACCTTGGCTGAGAGGGGAGGGGGGTCGCGGTCTTTTTTGGACTCGTCGTGGGAAGAAGCCATTGAGAGTTGGATTGTGCGTGCGCGTGGGCCCTGAAAGACGATGGTGCTTGTGCATCCCTTGATCACGCGAGGGGCAGCGGCATGAGTCTTGTGAGGTGATAGCTCACCGACGAAGATTTCTGACATGTCAAAATACAACCACCAGCAAACCGCAGGTTTTTTAGTCCTTGGTTTCCTTTTACCAGGGCAAGCCATTTTGGGTAGGCATGTTTGACCCATAGCCTGACATAGCAAGGGACTCCAGCCATTTGTACCGTGGCTCGGCTCTTGGAGCGCCCAGAGTTATGACAGGCCTTCGCCCCGGCCGGTGGTGACTTTGAGATGCCCAGCCCTCGGCGCATTGAGCTGCGCAGCCCTTGCGGTTGGTGGGAGGGAAACGAAGGGAAACCAAGCATGGGGAGTCCGGATTGGGCACCTACATGAGCCACGTGCTCAAAACCCGGGGAGTGATGAAGGTTAGTAAGGGGCAGTCCCGGCCAGAAATCGTTGCGGAGATCCGCCTTCTGAGTTCTTGAAGCATGGTTCTGGGTGGACTGATTGTGACTGACATGCGGCTTGCGGGATGGAGCACTCGATCTATGAGGCTGCAGCATCCTTATGGAGATCCTTCCAGTGAGACTGAAGGCAGTGACGTGCTCCAAGTTAAAAGTTCCATCCTGGTCTCGGGTCTAGTGACTTTTGCTGGACAGGACAAGGTTGTTCTTGCTCACAACGACCTTCTCAAGGTGTTTCAGCAAAAAAAAGAGTTCCAACTTGAATCGTCGTCCAGTGTAGGCTTGATCTGAATAGGGAGCCGTTGGCTTGCATTGGTTTGTTCTATTTCCTTCTCCTTTCTGCAGGCAGAGAACCCCTTCCATGAATGGACCCAACGCCACCCAGAACCCGACTTCAACGGAGGACCTGGCAGGGTCGAACCGCACGTCAGGCGTCTGCCAGCGCTTCCAAGGGCTTCTGGCACAGCTGGAGCTCCGCCAGGAGGTTGGCAGATTGATGGCCCATTGATGGCCGTTGATGGCCTTTGGGCTTTCCCGAAGGCTTTTTTGGTATGGCTGTGGTTGTCAAAACCGCTTTGGGATCCCATTATTTGGGCTAGGTGAATTCACCACCCATTTTAGAACCTATTTTCGTGGGGATTGGGATGTTCACGGGGGGTACGGACTTGGGCGCAGGTTTTAGTCCATGCTGCCATTTGCCAGGGCGAGCCATTTTGGGAACCAGTTTTTGACCCACCGCCACTTTTGCCGAAGGCTTTTTGGGCGTCGCTTTTCGGCGCCGTGCTTGCTTGTCCTCTACTGTTTAGCTGTTCTGTAAGATGTCCTTTATGTTGCACGCTGCGCTCTGCCTGCCTCAGCCAAAGAAGCACGGGTTTCTGAGCAAGCGACATGGGCTGGGGTTGGGGGGCACCGCCGCAGGTGATTGCGCCCAGCACCTCCGCTGCCGGCAGTGAAGCGCTTGCCGGGAGCCCTGCCTTTGAGGAAGCCGGCTGCACCAAGAAACCGACTTGAAGATAGTCCTGGAAATTGGAAGGCAGAGAGGCTTTTGTTGCACCAGGTGTGTCGGACTCTCATTAGCGTTTTGTGGCTGCACCATGGGGGACGCCGACCGACCAAGGCCTCCGGATGGCTCCCCGGCAGCGGCGGCAGCTCAGGCAAGGAGCACCCGGTCACTGCGCAGTGCCATGTGCATGAGAGCCCTGTCTCCAGAGCGCATTTTTTTCTTCAGAGGATGCAGTTTGTCAGAACAAGTCGTAATTTCAGAAACAAACATCATGTCCACTGTACATTCAAAGGCACATGCTCGAAGGATCAAGCAAAAGGAGCGCGGTGCAAGCCCTGTGGCCGCGGCGCATCCCCACGGCAAGACCTTGGGACCAGCGAGGATCAGCGAAAATGCCTGAAGTGGCCGTGCAGAAGCTCATGAGATCAGAAAGAGCGTCCCAAAGCCGCCAGCGAGGCGAGGCAGGCGTTTTGTGGGGAGAAATCCCGACCGCCAGGAGGAACAAACCGAACGAGTTTGACGTAGTGGCAGTCAGAATCCCGCCATCGGCTACGTTTTTGCCGAGAGCTGCGGCGAGCGTTCACCAGTTCAACATCCTTGGCGATCCTCTACTGCGTAGCTGCCTCAACAGGCGGAGGGACTTTCCACTTTCACCGTCTTTCTCAAAGCTGCTGCGCAGCTTCGCCGTACTTCGCGACGTCCTTACACCGGACACCCGCTGTCCTGATCGGCGACCGACGCCTTATCTTTCTTTGCTCAATTGCAATGGCTCACCGTGTTCTTTTGCTTTCCGTGCAAAGCTCAAAATGGCCCCCCTAGTTTTGGAGGTGCCCACATTGCATATGTTTCGCAGAGAGGATGTCAGTCCCCATTTGGGGCCATGATACGAGGCGAGCTTTGCCCGCCAACCCGTTGGCCAGGTGCGGTGGCGCAGGACCTGGCCGCGCGGCTGGAGGCCAAAGGCCGCCCCAGCGCCGCGGCCTCGGTGCGGTGACGCCTGGGGCTGTTTGGCCACGGACGAGTTGCGTCGTTTGCTTCGGGGGAATGTTCGTTTCAAAGGGAAATCAGAGGGAAATGCTGAAACGTCCGCTTGGGATGCCGCAAATTATGTTCATCCTTTGAGACTACCCTAAGATGCTGAGGTTCCCGCCTGCTTCCGATGCTGGGGGGAGCTTTGCGAGGTCGTCCGAAGCCCAAGAACTGGTGGGTTTGCTTGTACTCAGCTGCATGGCAGGGTAAGCAACATTTAACAAACAAACGGCGCTGCTCAAGGTTCATGTTTACCAGGGGAGTGTACAAAAGCATGGCTTGCCACCACTGAGGGTGATTGTTGCCGCAGTGATTGAAACCTTGTGGCAGTGTTGCTGGCCACAAAGCAAAGGGACAGCGTGCTATGTTCCATGCAGTTTTCATTGGATACGAGTTTTAGCGTTGGGTGGGCACTGGGCCATGCGGGGTGGTAAACATTGGACACACCGGGTGCAACTTCGGTTTCCATGTACCATTCGTGCAAGCCACACCACCTTTGCGGCCTAGCTGGCACTTACAAAGCGCTGTGGGGGAGGGGGTAGCATTGGGGCATTGGGGAGTTGCTTTGTTTTGATTGTTTTGACCCACAGCCACGTCTTTGAGTCTGCGATTTACTCTGCAGTTCGCAGCGCTGCCCAACGAATGGCATCTTGACCCTGCCACTCGGGGCAGTCCTCACCCATTTTAATTTTTTTTAGTGGGGATTGGGATGTTCACTGGGGTTACGGGATTTTGACCCATGGCCACATGGATGCACTCCAGCATGATGATGTGAGCCCTGAGGTTTTGCATGCCCAAGTCGATCCAGCATACAACATTGCTAATAGGAGCGTGATCTTTACGGTCTATGTTTTTGCCACCGTCCATGTCGGATATTTGCATCGAGCTGTGTTCAAATCGCCAGGATCCTGAAAAAAAACATATCCCAAAAAACATATCCTAAAAAGCTTGAAAAATAGCTTGATCCTGAAATTAGCAATACTGTATTTGCATCGATCCTAAAAAAACACAAAAACACACAGCATTCTGAATATCCGTGGGCTCTCGATGGGGCGAGTGGCAAGGCTTGCGGCGGCGCCTTAGAGCCGAGGGTCTCCCGGGCCCATTCCCTGTACCGCTGGCGCTGTTGGAGTCGAGCTCCTTTCATGATGGTCGTTGCGCAGAGGCACCACCATGATATTAAATCTGGCTTGTGGTTTTTCTAGCTTGTCGGCCCCAGGAAGAAATATGAAGGAAGGGGATGGCCTGGCAAGCAAGTGGATCTCTTGAAGATGGAGCAGCAAGGGCACAGGAATGGCAATGGCGGTCACAGTCTTCAAAGCAGGATACCGCCAAGCACAAGCAAAGCACCTTGTGGCCTTGCGACATGACGACCCTTTCTACTGCCAAGCTGATTGCCTGAGAATTGCATTGCTTCCCTTGTCGCGCCTTTGGCAGGCCGCTCGAGCGCATAGGATGCTTTGGCCCGCTGCTCAGAACATTTTTGCTTTGCGTCGAAGGTTTTGCAGGCGGGTTGGCGGCCGGTTTGAGCGCAGGTAGCAGAGGCACGGTGGCACAGGCCCACTGTGGCTCGGACATTGTGGACGGCTTCGCCGGGGGCCGCAGCGTCTTGCAACCTCCAGGATAAATTCGAGGGCTCTCTCTCATGCCTCTCTGGCTAATGTGAACAAAGCCTCGTACGCTGATTTGCGGGCTTTTTGAGGTTGCAAGCAGCGCGCTTTTGCCGTTGCACGTGCCCACAGTGCGCTTGGCCGGCTACCCAGATTTTACCCGCTGTGCATCTAAGCCAGGCAGTGGCAGTGGTTTCAGCTCAAATGGGTCGGTCGCTGGGCTTTCCGCGGCACCGCCTTGCGCGGTGTCACCTATTCTCTTTGTGCGCGCCCATCTGGGCACTGCCGCCTCAGGCGGCCGCTTCTGCCTCTGCCGCCGGTCTAAGTCGCGGCCAGCGAGGAGCGGTTGGGGTGGACCAGACAGCATGTCCTCACTGGCTTCATGAGAATTTGCCAGGAAGATTTACCTAAGGCTTTTTAGACCGTTTTGCCCAGAATGTCAACTTGTGTCCATAAGACAAGCACAGAGAGTCGCTGAACCGCTGATGGTTCTACTCCTTTCAGATGAACGATGCCATGTGCCAGGGTGCTGTGATCCAAATGACCCGGTCATGCAGGCAGGCAGATGGCTCTCACGCTCATCGCATTCGAGCCGCTCGTGTCTCGTGCAATCCTGTTTTGCCATGTGGCGGTGGGTCAAAGAGTCAAAACTAGGTACCCCTGGTAAATGGACACAAAGACCATCACCTGCGGTCTTTTGGTGGCTTCATTTTGACCCTTCATGTGACATACCCTCGGGCGCGATCAGGCGCTGCGATCCTTGATCTCGGAGCTTCCGAAGGTCTCCAGCACTCAAGCCTTCCAGGCGCGGCGCGCGCACGCGTGGCGCCTTCCTGTGCCGTATGTGGTGGGGGCTGAGGCGGCCAACGCCTTGGCTCTGGAGGCCTTTGACGATCTGGCAAAGGTGGCCGCCGGAAGCTTATGGACTCGGAGAAAGACTATCCTCCCACCCACTAACATGGAAGTGCAGAAAAAAGGCCCTTTCAGAGGAAAGTAGTCTTTCCACAGGGGTCTGTGCACTTCCATGTCAGCTAGTTAGAAAGGGATCCCCTCATTGATCATTTTAGTCAAGATGTCCATGTTCATTGTGTTGCGACATTGGCTCCAAGTTTCTACGTACCTTGTTACAGCCCAGATTGCCTCAGCCCAGATTTGGCCAGGGACTGGGGGGATGGATTGAGAGCTTTGCGCTGAGGCAAATTCCCACTTTCGGTGTGCATGAATTTGGATGAACATGTAAGGCTGCTCAAGCTTATGGATAAGTTGTCAATCTGATACCATTTGCCGGACTCTGTCCTGGGGTCAAAGCCAACCCAAGAGTAGTGGCAACTCCCCTTCCAGCAATTAAGCCATTCATCACTCGCCGCTTTGGTGCAAGGTGTAGCCCACGCGTTGGGCAACATGTTTTGGGGGATAGGCAAAAGGCCTGCACCTTTCTCAACGCGCCTCCTTCAAGCTGGCGCGAGATGGGCAAACCTGCACCGTTGAACGCGCCTCCTGCAAGGTGGTGTTCTCCAAGTGCCAAGGTCCAAACAGGATCTGCTGCTTGCCCCGTTGGAACCAAACGTCAAGGATTGTCCCACTTGCACTGAACACGCCTCATTCAAGCTGCACCTTTCTCAACCTCAAGCTTCTCAACTGCGCCTCCTTCAAGCACCGTTGGGCTTGCCCTGGCGCGCCTCCTGCAAGGTGGTGTTCTCCAAGTGCCAAGGTCCAAACAGGATCCGCTGCTTGCCCCGTTGGAACCAAACGTCAAGGATTGTCCCACTTGCACTGAACACGCCTCATTCAAGCTGCACCTTTCTCAACGCGCCTCCTTCAAGCTGGCGCGAGATGGGCAAACCTGCACCGTTGAACGCGCCTCCTGCAAGGTGGTGTTCTCCAAGTGCCAAGGTCCAAACAGGATCCGCTGCTTGCCCCGTTGGAACCAAACGTCAAGGATTGTCCCACTTGCACTGAACACGCCTCATTCAAGCTGCACCTTTCTCAACGCGCCTCCTTCAAGCTGGCGCGAGATGGGCAAACCTGCACCGTTGAACGCGCCTCCTGCAAGGTGGTGTTCTCCAAGTGCCAAGGTCCAAACAGGATCCGCTGCTTGCCCCGTTGGAACCAAACGTCAAGGATTGTCCCACTTGCACTGAACACGCCTCATTCAAGCTGCACCTTTCTCAACGCGCCTCCTTCAAGCTGGCGCGAGATGGGCAAACCTGCACCGTTGAACGCGCCTCCTGCAAGGTGGTGTTCTCCAAGTGCCAAGGTCCAAACAGGATCCGCTGCTTGCCCCGTTGGAACCAAACGTCAAGGATTGTCCCACTTGCACTGAACACGCCTCATTCAAGCTGCACCTTTCTCAACGCGCCTCCTTCAAGCTGGCGCGAGATGGGCAAACCTGCACCGTTGAACGCGCCTCCTGCAAGGTGGTGTTCTCCAAGTGCCAAGGTCCAAACAGGATCCGCTGCTTGCCCCGTTGGAACCAAACGTCAAGGATTGTCCCACTTGCACTGAACACGCCTCATTCAAGCTGCACCTTTCTCAACGCGTCCAGGCGTCCGAGTGCAATGGCCAAGGTCCAAACAGGGCAAGGGGGAAGCTGCTTGCCCCAACTGAGGCGCGCCTGGCGCGGCAGGACACAGAGCTCGGAGGACCCTGGGAATGGATGCGCGCGTCGAAGGAAACCCTCCGAGACGGCGGTTGGCGGGGCTTGTTGCCAAGCCAGGCCTCATGTGGGCTTTTTTGCCATTGGTTTTGCTTCTTGAGCATCTTCTATGGTAGGGGTTCTTGACAGAGAATGGCATGAGATAGGTTAAAGAAGCACAGGTTTTGAAGCCCTTGTATGCCGAGACAAATGTCTGCACTGGAAAAAATGGAATAAGAAGAAGAAGTGCTGAGCGGCTCTGCCACCGAAGCCAACACTTCACTGGAAAGTTTGCAGTGTTGTTGTGCAGGGGCTGCAATTGCAAAGCGGAAATGCTGTTGTGCATCCGGTGGCTTTGCCATGACCATGGTTTAAGGGCCTTTGGTCTTCGATGCTTCGCAGGAGTTTTTGCGCCGCTGGTGTGGAGCGCGGTTCCTCAGGAAGGACTTGAGCCTTCAGGACTCTGGGCTTTCCCATTGCCATGTGCAAGTAGCCACGGACACATGAACAGGCTTCCAGAGTGGGTTGGATGCAAGTCTTGTATCGGCGTGCCAAAGCTTTGTGCCAGCCTTGTGGTGGTGTCGCAGCCTTGGCTCGGCGCAAGATTGGTGCAACTCACGCATCCAATGCCAAGACTCTGAGATCTCATTTGAGCCGAACACCTCTGTGGACAATTCAACTCCCTATACTGAGTATATGATTCACCTGTGCGTGCAAGCGCAAGCTGGACGCTGCAGAACATGCAGCTCGGCGAAACGGGGTGGCTCTGCCGGCATATGTGACGCCAAAGTTTGCCAGGTTTGCAACACTTCCAAGTTGGCTTTTGGGGATCACAGCCTGTCGGCAACAGACTATTCAGTCAAAAGGATCAGGAGTCAATCCGCAATGTTCAAAGCACAGTCGTGCTGTGCTTTGGGATGTACACCTCGCATCCGCCTTCATCGAAAAAAAGGAACATGGTGCCTGGCTTGCGCAGAATGCTTCTCCTTCCTCTTTCCCCGAAGCCCAGGAATGTGATCATCCCGCTGGGCGGCGTTGGCAGCCGATTCCAGACTGAGGGGTACTTGACGCGACCAAAGCCGTTTATCCCTGTGCTAGGTGACTTGGCAGTTGCTTTGTTTGGCCATCAAGCAACCAGCAAGGCACACCTTGAATCTATGGGTGCTCCAGCTCTTGTTTTCAGCCCAGGCAAGCCGATGATCCGTTGGGTTGTTGACAACTTGACCCTGCAAGCAGATGACGCCTTGATCATTATCTTCAACCCTGCGTGGATGAGCATGAGCACCTTCATGCGTCTAGGCTGCACGGGAGCAGCACCAGAACATGTCTTTCCATGTCCTTTGGGATGCCAACCAAGCGGAAAGCTGCAAGCAACGAATGATGCGAGCCCCATGGGGTGAAATGGAAAGGGTGTATTCTGTGTTGAAATCGATCCATTCCCCACATTCTGTGCCCCGAGGAAAGAGCAGCTGGCAGACGGAGACTCTCGAGTGAGGCCGGAAGGGGACAAAGATCTGCCAAAGCCACGCAGAAGTGAACTGAGGCCCGTTCTATGTGCCGTGCTATGAAACCCTTTTAAGAGCACTCCGTTTGGGGCTTTCTTTGGAAGACCCCATTCCGTTGATCTTGGCCCATGGGCCCACTTCCACGCTGGGAAGCACGTGCGCTGCGCAAGCGTGCGCAAGCGAGCTCCATTGAGGCTGGTGGAGCTGCCGGGGCCGACCCGAGGGGCGGCCGAGACGGTGCTCATTGGGCTCAAGAGCCTGCCAGAGGTGGGGCGTAGAACTGGCTAGAAACGGCAGTGGCTCACAAAACCGGTCACCCAAAATGGCTTGCCCTAAGTGGAAACGACCAAAACCTGCGGTTTTCCCCTCCGATCGCTTACTTTGGAGCGACACCCAAATTGAGAGCTCGAGGAAGTGGGAGAGCTTTGAAATTGAGGGGAGTGCCAGACATGTGTTGAGTCTGACGTTTGTTTGGGAGCGTTGAGCGGGGATGAATTTCTATCCCACAAATCGGCCTAGTTGCTTTCGTTGGCTGGGATGTTAGAGTTTGGTTTAGATAAGATTAGGCAATCGGCTTTTAGCTGGAATCACTGAGCTCACACGCAGCCGGTCGCCAGCCGTGTAGTTTGCAGCTGCGCGTTGCAGACACCAGAAGCCGTGCCTTGCAGGAGATGCTTAAAAGGCCCACGCTTCTAGCCGAGCCTTGGCTGCAGCGGTATCAGTCAAGGGAAGTCATCAATGGGCTATGGCGGGCGGAGTGTAGACCGTTGGCCATGCCATCGAGACATTTCTCTCAGAGCTTTTCTTCCTACTCGATGCTATTTCCCTTGCCACGTGTCCTGCAGCATTGTCAGACCCAAATTCTCGATGCGAGGACGGCGACACCTTCTATACTGCAGATGTCGTCAGCGAGTTTCGTCGGGTGGCCACTCTTCTGCGGCTTCACTCCTTTGCGTGAGCTGAGCATGTTCGGCACGTTTCGTCGACTTGTCCGGTGTTGGTAGAGCTTGGTAAAGTGATTGGCGAGGAAATTCAGCCCGCAAAGCATTCGCACGCTTGATCCGGTCACTGGCAAGACCAAGGCTGCCACGCACAACGCGGTGTTCTGCTTCAACGACACTCAGCCCAAACCCATTTACAGTCTCCTAGCTTCAGAATTGTAAACGCTGCGCGTTGCCCGCCTCGGCCAAGCCGAGCGTGCAGCGTCTGTGGTTCGACTGCAAGCAGCAGAGCTGGTCAAGTGGCGATTCAGGGATGGACAGGTTCTGGCGTCGTTGGACCAATTGATGTCATGGGCCCGCAGGAATCCCCGAGGCAAGGGCAAGGCGATGCACAGGACAGGGCGAGCTGGGCTGGGTCTTGCTTGGGTTGGTTGGTGGAGGGCGGCTGGGATGTGCCTTGCTTGGGTGGTTGCTGGTTGGGCTGGGCCTGAGGCGAGTGTCACACACTGGGCTGGGCCCAAGGCTAGTCTCAGACATGTGAGTCTAGTCTCGGCTGGGCTTGTGTGGGTTGCTGGCTGGGCTGGGCTGTGAGGCTTGTCTCAGACAGGTGAGGTCATGTTTTTCAGGAGTTTTTGGTGAGTTTTGGACCGCCCTTCACCTGCTTGGACCAAGGCGAGTTTCGATTCTGCGAAGCGCAGAGTCATCGCAGCTACCAAATCAAAAGAACTGCAAAGCGCAGCACAAATCTTACAGCAACGCTTTGCTGACACGGCCTTTCAAGTTTCACATGCTATATTCACATACCGTAACTTACTTTTCTACATGCCAGATATTCTTACCTGTCAGGTTTTGAGGCCTTGCAGGGTGTTTGCGTTCATGAGCTTCATCCCGGTGAACGGTTTGCCACATGCTGACAGCCCTGTTTTTGCCCAGCTAAAAGCCATGGGGTCTTTGCCCGCATAGGCTCCTGGGTGGTGGGTTGTGGGGACGCATGGCGCAGGTCCGAGGAGGGTTGCAGGCACGCGCGGGGCGGTTCTGAGGATTGTTCCGGGGCCGGGCTCGGGACGCGGTCGGTTTAGGGGGAGGGGATGGTTTCGGGGTTGCTGGCCGACCGGGGCGAGGTGGGGACCAGCTTGCGCGAACCGGTCCCCGTTTGGCCAGCAACCGGGGCATTCACGCCCGGTCAGGCGAGCCGGTCACCATGACCCCGTTGCTGGCCGACCGGGGGGCAGTTCGCGGACTGGGGCCGGTGACCAGGGACCGGTTACCGGGGATGATGAGCTTGCGGTGCACAGCGCGCCTCATGCTGTTGGGGATATCAGCCATTTTTCCGCTGAGCGAGCTAGTTGGCTTGCCAGGTACTCTGCAAATCAGTTCGCCCTCCGTCTGTTGATCAGCTAGTCAGTTTATTGGCCAGTTGCTGGTCTGTCAGTGCGTCAGTGAGTCAGTGGTAGGTGGCTAGGTGGCAGTCTATTTTAGCCAGGCACAGCCTGGTTGCTTTGCGATTCAGTCACCGGGGATCCATTTTTTTTGTTGAGTTGTGCCTGTGCCGCAATGAATAAGACTGATGCTTGCAGATTGATATCGAAGGCTATGTCACTCTAGATGCTGCGGACAACATCACTGAAGTCAAGGCGGGGTGGTTCTTTTGAGTTGTGAGACTTGGCATGTTCGATTTTTTGAGTTTCTCAATTTTTGACCGAACAGGTGCCCGGAGCCTACATGATTTTGCGCGTGGCTTGTGTACAGTGTCGAAAGCGGCAACGTGCGCATGTCAACCATGATAATTTCTCATTTCAGGAGAAGGTGAAGATCAGCGATTGGGCAAACACAGGCAGAGAGCGTGAAGCGGGCCGAGAGTGTGCAAATGCCATTTATGCGGATCGAATCTCGCAACTTGCGGATGGCATGTTCGGCACTTGGTTTGTTGTTACGCCTTGGTAGCCAATAAGTTCGTCTTGCGATTGCAGCTCTTCTCATATCATTTGGGTTGTTGGTAGACGAATTACTTCCAGCAATTGGTCTGACCATGCATTGACCTGCAGTTTCCCTTCTTTGCACAACTTTGCGGGAGGCCAGCGTCGTTTTCAGTTTTGCAAATCCATCAGGGTTCCAACAGGGTCTTCCATCAGGGTTCCAACAGGGTCTTTGGAAGTAGGGTGTTTTCGAGACATAGCCTCAATTTGCAGCACGCAATACGGTGAAGGATATGCGTGATTCTCGGATTGCCATGAGGATTGGCAGGGCATGGTTCGGGTGGCGGGAAGCAGAGTATGTCACCAGGGTGTGGCAACCATGGCACACTGTACTCAATTCCGGCATAGGAATTTGCAAATTGGATGTTCCGCATCCATTCTAGGTGGCCCGTGTCACCTGAGCCACAATAAATACCCGTTAGCAAGGGCCAACCCCAACCATAACTAGCTGCGGATATCCCGCCTTCTTAGTTCTTTACATGGTTCTGGGATTATGACCATTGGAATACCGGGTTTTGAGCAAGTGACGTCACCTGTTCAAAGACGCGACTCCTGCCACTGGCTTGGGAGTTGCGAGGCTGCTACTGCTTCCGCGACGGCGCCGAGCTGGCCCGGGAGTGCGAGGCGCTCATCGTCCGGGGTGAGACGCAGCTGAGCCAGGAGGGCAGCCGAGAGCGCCGTTAACGCAACGGGGTTCCATTTGGGTGTGGCTCAAAAGTAAACGATCGGAGGGGAAAACCGCAGGTTTTGATCCATGTTTCCACTTACCAGGGCAAGCCATTTTGGGTACCGGTTTGAGCCACAGCCATTTCTTGGATGTGGTGTCAGGGGAAGCCAAAGGAGATCACGTAATTCTCGGGAATTATTGTGTGTGCTTCATACTGTCACTCCAAGCTTTTTTTTGGATTGTCACTTCTTTTGTGCAGGACCAGAAGGGCGAATTCTACACCTCAGGTGTGATAGCAGTTGCTGGCTCAGTAAAAAAAGACGACATGGCCAGCTGC